CCCCCCCCCCCCCCCCCGTTACATATCTCCTACATCTTGGGTTGCTTTGGCACTGCAAACTGCTACAAAGGCAAGGGCCGCCATCTAAGTGTAAAACTTGCCAAAAACTGATAAGAATAGGAACGACTGCAACCTACCAGCAGATATCGCCTCCAAGTACCGCTCTTCCTCAAACAACTAGTCTTGCCTTCGGCCGTGCGTCTGCAAGAGTGCTTGGAGATGTCGCCTGTCACAAAGAGGAGCAGCAAGCCGTGCAAGCGCGCCGTTTGTTGCAGGGCTCTACCTCCAGAGCTTCATCAACTGGCTGCTGCCATGTGTCTTGAGACCTTGGTGCTTGCAAGCGCTAAGGTGAGAAGCAGTTCGTGCACAGAAAGCTCCGGACACGGTCTCCGCGCCGGCCACAGCCTCAGCCCAGCTATTATCGAAGCTGACTTGATATCCAAGACCTGCATTTTGCCTTGCCACCAACAATTGAGAGAAGGGCTGCCAGCGTCTTCCAGAGTCTATCGCCTAGTCGTGTGTCAGCTATAAGCCCGTTCAGCGCGACCTCCTTGATCGACCGAGATTGAACGTGAGGTTTAAATGTTCCCACCATCTCAAATTGGTCCACCAGCCCCCTTTCGGGCATTCGCTCGGATACTTTGGGCATCCATGGGATGCCAGAGCGCGAGTGTTCATCGAAGATGTCGGAGTGGAGGTCCCAGTGGTCTCTGGGCTCTCTTTCCTCCGGCTTGTTCTCAAAGGCCACGCCGGTCCCCAGCGAGTGGCTCCTTCGCAGCCGGAAGAGCGACTCCTTGTGGCTCCAGTCGCTCTCCAGGGTTGGTGAGAAGCTGACAGTTCGCGACTCGCGCGCCTCAGCTCTGTGACCACTCATGAGCATAAGGCGGCATATTCGTACCATCTGCACTCAAGAGACGGCGCTCTTCGGCTGACGAAGGTCTTCCTGCACCAGGCATGTCGCTCGTCTGCACTGGAGCCTGCTACATCTTGATGAGCCGGTCCTGTATCTTCCTCGTCTTTCGGGATCTTGGGCCGCGACGAGGAATTGGGGGTAGCAGCCCTGGAATGCGCAGCAGGCGACCGTATTTCAGCGGCTCTTCACGCTGATACCGCAGCAGGTGATCGCCACCTGAGGTCAGCACAGCATGTCCGAAACATGGCGAAAACAGAAGCGAATGTTCCTTCCTCCTGCGAGAGGGCTTGGAGCCACAGGAGACGAAGTCTAAGCCTTCTGAGTTTGGAGCTGGCAGGCAGAGAGCGCATGAGTTCGTAGCGCATGCGAAGTCGCAGGGCTTTCGGTCTCACCAAGATCTTCACCTTTTTGGAACCTGAGTGCCAAAGGCGGACGGCAACAGACAAACTCCCAAACTCTGCTCTTAAAACGTCCATGCGTCTATACTCTCTCTTTCTCTGACATGAGAGAAGCGGCCGAGCACTTCCGGCAGATTCTGGGACGATGGATCTTCGTCCAAGAAAGACTCATTTGCGGAGGAGTAGTCAGAGGATTCCTCGCCATCCTCGGAGCTCTCCACTTCTTCCTGAGGAAAACTCCTGAAAGGACACTGCAAAGGAGAGCTGCCGATTCATGTGCTCTCTACTCTTTCTCTCTTTTCTCTCTTTTCTCTCTTGTCTCAGCTCCTGTATGCTTCGAGAACGCTTTCCATCACAGAAATCTCATCGGGCGTTTCTCTCAAAACCGACAGCATGGTTATCTTCACTGGCGACAGCCACGGAATCAGAAGCCGATCCAATGCCGCATGGACCGCCGCCTTCGGTTGAAATTCGAGAGTGAGAGCGCACACACGTACTGCTGCAAAGCTTCATGCACTTGTGCTGCCAAGGCACAAGAGTGAAGAGAAGCAGAAAGAAAAGTGGCGCAGCCCAGGTCACTCCATCTCCCATCGTGACGGGACTGACCAAGGCGAGCATGCAAAATGTCATGACCACGCCTGCACACGGAATGCCAGCCATGAAAAGTCGCAGAAGCCGAGGATTAGTTTTTTCGATACATAGAACATTTAGAAACTTAGCAGGTCATCCAAAGCACTGAGCATCTTCTGAAGTCTTCGGGCGCGGGCAAGGAATCGCACACGGAACTTCAAGTTCTTCTCTCCAGCTGTCAGGTACTTGCGCAAAGCCACTTCTGCTTCCTGCGAAATGTGCAAAATGTTCCTACGTCGTGATAAAAAGCACAGAAACCGTGATGACGAGATACATAGAATAGTTGTGCCAAAGCGCTAAGATTGCACGAATTCAGCCGGGTCATGCGCCCTGGCCTTGTAGCTGAGGCCGTTGTTCACGTAATCCTTCAAGAAACGACGCGTGCAAAGTCATCACAGTGCACACGACGATTCGAGAATGTCCTGGATCCTGTGCTTCGTGATGTCCTCGGCAAGGGAATGACGCTGACAAGCCAAGAGCGTTCTAGGCACGGCTTTGCAGAGCTTCGCGGTGAGTCCCCAAGCCCAGCGCCAAACTACTGTCCATGTTGCGAAGAGGAGGCCAGTTACAGTACCTTCAAAGGCGAGAAGCTGCTTTAAGCATACGATAAAATACGATAAACACAGACAAGGCCTCGCCGGAAGTGACAGGACAGAACAGCCAGGCAGCCAAAGCCTGAGTGCCAAATAGGCCGCACACTGAGGATGCGTTTTCGAACAGGGCTTTGGCAGAAGCATCCCCACTGTGGCGGCCGTTGAAATTTGGGTCGTTGTGTAGTCCTCCTGATCCAAATAACCTCGACCAGCCTGTGATTGCAGCAAACGGAAACAACACCGGTTTGCTCCCCGCGTGTCGGTTCCGTGCCTGTTTGACGAGCTCGCGGCAACGCCACCGAACTCGCAAAGGAGAAAGGTTTGCTCCCTGCCAGTATTCGGGCCCTCGGCGCTTTCTGCATTTACCGCTCGCGCCGTGCAACCATGCCTCCTTCCAGAGGCCGAGGACTGTAAAGGCACAAACCTTGCAGAAAACACGCAAAGCATAACTAGCCTGGACACAATGCGACAGACAAGGCAAAGCGAAGGGAAAAGCAACGAAGCAAATTTGCCTTCGACGACTCATAGAGCCGTAGCCACGGTTGGCGGAGCCACAGATGCACCTTGGGCCTCAGGTGCGACAATACCCAGCTTCAGTGCAACAGCATCAGGACCGCGAGCATCTGAAATTCCGCAGTGCTCACTCGTGACTGGCTGCAGCCTACCCGCCCCACTTCCAAACAGCATGATCGATACCGCATGATCAATTCAATCCAGTTTTTGGTTTGAATTGTGCTTGTGCGGCGGGTTCGGAGTGTGTGATTTCTGCTACGATGCATTGTCATGTTCTCGTCTTGACCCGTACGAAAAGCTTATTGCCCTCCTGGTTCCTTTCACTCGCAAACTTAGCGACAGGTTTCTTGACAAACAGTGCTGGCCGGTACGAACAAAGGCAGACCTACCCTGTAACGCTTCAGTCTAGTGAACGACGCTTCCAACAACTGTTGGAAACTGCTCCCCTACTGTTTGCTGTGCATCATCTCATCAGACCTGCAAAGGTCTAGCAGCTGTGCAGAATCTTCTGTCGCGTTGCGACATCTTTTTGGTGCAGTCTCCACAATACCGTCCCAATACTTCTCAAAACCCACAATGAGCGTCTAACGCACGCTCGTTTTCTTACGGTTTGAGGCATTGGGTGAAGCTTGGAAGCACGCGATGATGGCAAAGGCTGAACTCCTATCCGCACGAATGTTCACGACATACCCACATGTCGGATGCATGTAGAGGGTACTTACCAAAAATCACAGAAGAATGAATGATTGTGCCGGTGTGCGGGTCAAAGCGCTTTTAAACATAAAGAGCAAATTGGAGCCAAGATGTTAAGGATTGCATGTATGTCGGCGTGGGGGCCTGCGCGTTTCGAGTAAACAAGCATTTCTTCAATTTGTCCTACGGTTTCTGGTATGTGTTCAATGACTTGCGTGTCGATGCGAAGTATGTACGTGTGGCACGCTGAGCACAAACTAGTTGATTCTGCTTCATGTCTTGACATATAGCGGCATGGTCAAGGCACACGGTCGCAGAGCCAATATGAGCATTCAAGGCATCCTACGTACACTGCAAGTGTTATACAAGCTACCCACTCATGTTTAGGGTAGCAATTTTTTCGTCCATCATATCCTTTCGGGTTTGGGTCTGTAACTTATTTGAGTCAATATTGTCAGACTTTGAGGCCTGACGGACCTCTTCTGCGCATTGTATCTGGGTCGTCCTTCATCCTCTACTATGGCTTGTGGCTTGTTGGGGTGTTTGAAGAACAGGGGACGACGCCATGATCTTTGCTATGAGTTTAGGGTCCAATACTTCCTATTAGGATTGTTGTCGTTGTTGGACTGCTTTTTTGAGGGCAGCCGGTTAGGAATGAGGCTATGCAATCCATCATCTCCTTGGGAGGGAAGAGGGAGGGAGCAAGCGACTAGCTGCATCTGGAGGGACGTGGAGCTTGGCGAGCAGATGGCCCGGTCAAGCAAGAGCGTTTGCTTGCAGACGCAAAGAACAACAAGATGCAGGCCCGCCACCGACAAAGCGGCATAAGGGCTAGAGACCGTGCCTCGTGGAAATTCTTGCGACAAGGGCTCTTGCCCCGACAATCTCGCATCAGGGTACTAGCCAAACAAGCAACATCGCCTCCACATTGGGCATATTATAGGGCTGTGCCCGGCTGTGTGAAAATGTGGCGAGCATTCCTCTGCAGATCCCGCTGCAGATAGTGGGTGCATAACACGACTCGTGCGGCACATACGCTTTCCCAAGTACTCACTCGTCATCACCTTTTGCCGGATAATGGTGAATGGCAAAACCCCATCCATGTCACCCACAAGCAGGTCACACGACAGTATACCCTCGGACGGAACACTGTGACCAACACCCGCCTCGCACGACGGGGCCAATCTGGATCGGCAATCAAGATGACAGCATTACTACACTACAACGGACTACAAAGATTGGGCATCGACGACCAGCAGAAGATAAACACAAGCAAGTCAGAGAAGACATTTTTACAGTCGATACAAGCCTCATGGATTGAATTTTCCGATTATGCAAAAGTGAAGAAAGCTTCAAAGCTGTTGGAATTCAGGAAGGCCCCGCTTTGCCATCCTAATTTTCCGACCAAGCTCATGCCCAGCAGACCATCGGCTGCGAACAAACCCCAAATGGTCGATGTTCAGCGATGGCACAATATGTCTACGTGTTGGAGCACGAATGATAGTTGACGCTGTAACCGTTGTAGTTGATTCACTGATTCACTGACAAATGAAGCTCCTGCCAATTCAGCAGATCTGGGAAACTTCCATCTTGCGGAAGTTGTGTGGTTTTCAAAGACGGTGATTCGTGGAAAGATTTCGAACCTTTCAGACATGGAAATTCCAAAATCTAGGATGGGGTTTGTTGTAAAAGGTTTTAATTTGGAAATGTGCGAGATTTGGAAATTCCAACAGTTATTTCTGTAATATCGAAGTGTTTGCATGTTTTGAGGTTTGGGAAACCCAGAAACTCCCAAGGCAGGCGGGATTCTGGACAGTGTTGGAAATCTGCTAAAGGCGAGAGGTTTTTCTGGAGAACATGGACTTTCGCATAACCCAGAGGTACAAGTAGCCTGGAGTTTTGGGTGCAGGTCTCTCAGGCGGGCTTACCACATCTATTATGCACACATACAGTTATATACACCCCGACAGTTGCTCAAAAGCCCGATCCGTTTCATCGGCGACGGACATGGGTGGCATTCACCGGAGACCATGGCATGACATACCCTGACTGAGATTTGAGTCCTCGACTTGGGTACTGCGTTGTAGAGGGGCCGCGGCAAGACGGCCAGCCTCAGTTTCGGCGCGCTGCAGTTGAGACACAGCACAGGACATTACGACGGTTGCAGGCTGCAAACTGTATGACGTCCACTTGCTTTCCTCCGAGTTCGGCAATGTCCTGGGCAAGACGAGCACCGTCTCAGCCTAGGCGACCGATGAAAAAGCCAACGATAATCTTCCCGGTCCTCCCACATGTCGATGAGGGCACCCGTCTTCCCAAGCTCGCGCCTCAGGATGATTCCACTTCTCAGCCGAGCTGAAACGGCTCCCGTGAAAAGCCGCCTCTATCACTGCTCTGTTGCTTGAATGGCAAGTCTCGCGAGACCGTTTTCTAAACACCTGTCACTTGTGTGCTGAGTTTTCCGTTTGCATGACCCTAACCTCGCGGATCAGATGCCAGGCTCCAAGTCAGTCTTCTGAAACCCCCTTGCCGTTTGCGTTTTGTGCGACTTGCAAGATCCTTTGTCGCAGCTTGGTGCCAGAGCTTTCGCGATGATTTCGGGAAGGGGCGTGACAGACCCGCTGCTTGCGGCAATGGAGGATTGAAAGTGCCAGGTGCAAATGCTTTCGCACAGTTCAATCTCTGCTGCTCTCAGGCTCGTACAGCTTGTCCACGAGAAGGCCTTTCTGCAATGTGCCAAGGGGGTGCTTACCGGCACTCACCAGCAGGCCTCTGCGCGTCAGTCCATGCCTGCAGATGAAACATGCTTCAGCATTGAACCGCTCCCATCTGCCCGCAGGCGAGCAATCATGCTACAAACAAGGTAGTGCCACTGCAGCAGTTGCACGACGACCACCCTGCAGGCCTGTGGTGCTTGTGGAGGTGTCTCTTCCTTAGTCCGAGCGATTGAACTTTCCAGAGCAGTCATCACGTCGCGTGTTTCTGCAGCCGAGAATCGGCCAACATCCTTGCACAAGTCGCACACAGGGCGAACAAACACGCCTGCAACAGCTTGGATTGACTTGTCTAACAAGCGCAAGTCCCACTGTACAAGGACCACACCTCAGACAGGATCTCGCTGCATCACATACCTGAGTCTACCATCAGCCAACAGAGGGTCAAGAGGCCCGAAACGGTTCAATCTCATACTGTCTGAATCTGCCTTGGGCTTGGACATTGGGAGGACCTACAGGTTTCGTCAGGCAAGTGTTGTTGCATCGACTGTAACAGGTTGACATTTTTCCGACGATAGGGGCTTGGCTATGTCGATCCTTCGATGGCATGTCCGTGGAATGCAGCAAGTCTGAGTCGTCGGAACACGATGTCTTGAAATGCCAGCAGACATTCAGGCGATGCGATTCGGAAACGAAAGAGCGAGAACGGTAGAAAGAAAATCGTGGCAAGAAGCCGGCTGCTCGGGTACAGGGAACACGTGGCGAAACTGCTCAGTCTCCATAGCTAGCATAAACCTGAACCTCTGTTCCTCAAAGCTCCCATGCCACAAAGATATTCCGCGACTTGAGGTCGCACTGCATCTCTCCAGAACAGTTCCTAGCACCAACTCGGGCGACAGAAGTTCGCCGGCTGGCTCGCCTCCCTGCCAAGCTCCACAGATTGCCGGCTGAGCTTAGACATTCGATCAGGATGCCAGTCCGTGAGAAGCGTGAAAGGAATCAAGGTGGTCAAGCTCACAACCCTGTCAGATCAGAGTAGACATCAGCCGTTTTGTTCGAAACCCAAACCAAGCCCAATGAGGACGGAGCGATGAGTCGGACGCAGGAGATCAACACGTGAGGCGGGACAAACCCGAAAGGTGCTGAAACCGGTGAAGGAGCAATGAGTTGCTGGACAAGCCTGACATCCCGCAGACGGTCCTCTCCCAAACCAACAAAACAACAAAAAACTGCCTGTCCAGGGTTCACACGATTTCTCCTAGGCCTGTCGCAGACTGGAAGAAAGTACATGCTTCAGCCCGACAGACCCAAGTTGGTTTGCGATGCCCAGAACGTGCATCGAAAGGATGGCTATTGCATGTGACCAAGTCACACATCTGCAGCTCCTGTAGCACCTGTCAACGTGCAACTGCAAATGTAGGCAAGCCAAGGTACAAACAATTCAGCCTTGCCTTCGCGGCCTCTGTGTGGATTGCTCTACATCGTTGGGCTCAAGCTCATCCGGAGAAACTTGGACTTTCCAATCATCGTTCACTCGCATGCCGCGTCTTGTTGCATCAGCACCCTTCACAGCATCATTCCGTGGGCTGGCGCCTCTGCCAGGACTTCTTGGACTGAAACCTCTTCCAGGGCTTCTTGGACTTTGGTTCCTGCCAGACCTGCCCGGGCTTTCCACCTTGCGAACTGTCGCAATGTCCACACGCGTTCCGTCAGCAAGGCGCGCAAAGCGAGCCGGTGTCTGCTGCAATCTTGCCGTGGTCAGTCCTGGTCCAGAGCTTGGAGCACCATCAGATCTCGGACTTCTTGGGCTGCTGTTCGGACTGTTGCTGGGACTGTCTCCGCGAGTAGCTCTTCGCAACAAGGTCGTGACCGAGCCCAAATTCTTCTTCAGCTTCAGTCCACTGGCGCCCTTAATCCTTGGACTTCCACGACCCGGGCTCGAGCGGGAAGAGGACTCCGGCTTGGCTCCGGGACTGCTGGGACTGCGCGGGCTGCGAGCAGATCTCGGACTTCCGCGGTCTGATCGCGGACTTCGGGGACTGGACATGGCACTCGGAGGCCCTTCCTCGTCTTCTTCTTTTTCCCACAGCCCAAGCGCCCGGAGCACGGCACAGATCAGGTACCTAGGCCAAGATGCCGCTTGAGACGACCGTAAATGACAAAGCAAAGCATCACTGCAGGGCTGAGATGCTCTTCGACCCGCTCCTCCTCCGACAACAAGGGACAGCTCTCAGCAAATCACGTGAGAAGACAGAGGGAAACATGAAAAGACGTGTTTATTACATGTCAGTGTGCATGCAGCTCCTCAAAATGAAGCAGGCGATCGCGAGAGACGCATGCAAGCACGCTCGACAGAAATCGCGGCGGATTTCCCATATGAGTCGTCTGCCTGCATGGATTCTGCTTTCCACTGTGATATAACGGATCTGAAGTCCAGTAGACATGCCTCGAGCTGCCAATCAGCCACACCCAGATGCACAAGGAATATATTTGAGCTATCACCTCCGTGCGCTAAAGCAGATGCTTAGCTGAGGATGCTGACGTGTTTGAAACTGCAATATGGTATGTTGCAAATCGTTCATGTCTCAGGCTCACGGCCGTGCAGAAGAGTGCAAGAGCGAGAGATAAGCCTGGCGGCACTGCACGACATAACAAAAAACACATGTACACGGAGACATGCTGACATACGCTGACACACGTTTTGATCACATTTTGCGCACCCAAACGCATCGCTGCACAAAAGCGTTCGCACCTGGAGTCGAAGCAGCAACACCGTCTGGTGGCACCAACCTCGGGACGAGTATGCCTCTGCTGTGCCATCTTTGCTACAACACGGTGCCTTTTTCAAGCCGATGAGCACGGCTGCACGGCCATCTCCTTGCTTGTGTGACGGCTTCTAAGATGCAGACAGGATCGTGGCGACGAAGGGCAGCAACCTAGGCACACGCAACGCAACTGCTAAAGCCTTCGAAGACGAAAAGTTGAAGGGTTCACGAGCGCTCTAGGCTTCGCTGCGGAAGCTCTTTGACACCTTTTGGTTTCGTCGGGCCTCGCCTTGCCGGCCAGCCACCAGCAGCGCGCAGCACCACATCGAGCAGGACTTCCTAGAACGCAATTCTTGCACAGATAAGCATGCGCGATCAGTAGGAAATCTGTGCTGGTCGAGTAACCAGGCCACCTACTGCGAGGAGCCGTGCAGCCTGTGAGCAGTAACTTCCCAAAGCAGACGCTGTACTTAACTGCGGATCTCATGCAGCAAGCCTGAGCTACCAGGCCCAAATCACCAACAACCACCTGCAAAAGCCAAGCTTGTGTCTTGGTCCTTCTGCTGATGGACTTGTGAGCTGATGCTGCTCGGCAGCGCTCGGCAATCCCCTGACTGGCCAGGCCACACACTGCTTGGCGGCAACCAGGCGCGCAGGTAAGTCTGATGCGAGAACAACATAGCCTCACATGCGATGCGCAACTGTCTGGGGCGACGGATCCAGCAGACTGCAACTCGACAAGCGGCTGAAAGTGGTCGTTGCATATGTCATTGCCGCAGCTGCCTAGGCAGCGTCCAATCAGCAACGACATACCTATGACATGTCTTGTGTCGGAGTCTCAGGTCCAGGCCATGATTCCGGCTTCACTTGTTGAGTGAAGTGCGACTTGCATCTGGCAGGCCACAACATCAGGGCGCATCAGAAAGTTCGCAGTTTTGCAAAACCTGGTAACTGGTGAATGCTATGTAAGGATGACACTGGCAGGTTTGATATCGCGACCTGTGTCAAGAACACAAAGCCTGATAAAACAAGCAAGGCTGCTACAGCAGCTACAGCTCAGCACAAATGCCTGCAGTGACCAGAGGAGCCGCACGGCCAGCATCACTGGGTACCTGCGAACAGCGAAACAAGACAGCGAAAGGTTCGAAGCTCAGCTGCATGAAACGTAAGCAGCAATGAAAAAACAAAAGCACCACATGTCGTGCAGAGCAATGGCGCCTGATAAGATCAGGCACCGGGAGCATGGCCACGACCTGTGGCTGCATCCCATGACTGAAACTAAGCAGCAAGCTTGCTGGTTCTTGGAGTTCGACGTACTCGTAGGGCATCGGCCTGGCGGAAGGCGGTGGTACAGCGGAAGCTCACATGTGCTTTCCGCGCCCTGCGCCTAAACAAGGCGTCCTTCAAGATGAACCGGGAGCTCGTCACAGCTTGCACCACGGACGCAAAGTCCACCTGCTTAAATCAAGTCCGGCCTGCCGGCTTCCCATGACTGATTTCCCTAGGCTCCTTCACGCTCCTTCCAAAGACAGCAAGACAGCTTCCGAAGGCAGCTGCATGGATAATCTCTTTGAAAAGGCATGAACATGAAAGCTGCTGGAGGCACCAGCAAGAAATGGACGACGATCCAGTCCTAAGCATTGCTTTGAACTGAGCACGGTCGAGCCAGCACTGGACTGAGCAAAGCTGAGCACGGTTCGCCTAGAAGCTTCACAACGGACATCACTGTTGCCCCGACTGCATAGAGGAGAGCACGGGCTTTCTTCGCCTCAGTGTTGAAGAAATCTGTGCCCTCATGTGAACTTCGCCAGTGAACTTCGCATAGGCGCGAGCCCGGCTCCGAGACATCGGTTCGATCCCGTTTACTGCACGGCAGGCCGAACGATGCATACCTGGCAAAAGGGACAAGAAGTGAGCGAAGCGAGAGCATGGATGGGTAAAAGGCAAACACAGTTGCCTGCAAATAGAAGGATGCTCAGCGCAGCGGATGGAGCAATGATTACCACTCCAGCTCCAAGAATCCACCTTGCAACTTGACGCACCGAAGCAACTCCGCAAGCAGCGTGCGAGCACCAGAGCATGCAGCTCAGCCGCGGCAGACCCATCGAGTGCAAACAAACACAAATCAGCGCCACGGCAGCCCCGACGAACGACATGTCCACGTTCTCACGCCAGTCCTGTTTTCTCTAAGCCGTGGAACGACCAAGCTACCGCTTCCTTCAACCGGTATAACACTCTTCAACATGTGTGCAACACTTGTCCGCCCACGACTCGGATTTCCAGATGTGGCAAATCCATAGGCAAGTGAGCGCTTGTGTCAGAGATGCTGCTGCTGCCTCAGCTGCTGCGCAACATGTTCAGGTTCCTCAAGCTTGTCTTTCGATTCTTTCGTGATCCAACTTCCGTCATTCATGATTTGTGAGCTCAAGCTGCAAAGATTGGTGGCGAGCTATAGCTGACAACGAAGTCGGTACCTGCAGAACTGGGGCGAGACCGCCAAGTCTGAGTACTAGAACTGGTAAAAGCACCGTGGCAAGCGGACCAACAAGATCAAACGATAAATTGGACATTGGCATGCAGTTCACAGCAAGATTTCACATCGATCTGACATATGTACTACCATTCAGCGCCGGAGGGCCTCAAACGAACTAGCTAGCGGAAGTCAAATACGGTACTGCGGGTGGAACGCCCAAGCCAGGGCCGCTAAGCCACCCCTCTGCAAGTCCTCCCTGCAGCAGCGCATCAGTGAAGCTACATTCACCGCGTGGCCTGGGCCCAAGCTCGAAGCTCGCGGAGTAGAGAGGCCTCGTTTTGCTTTGTAACTCGTGCTCGTGGATGACTTGGCCTCATCGTCGTCGAAATAGGGCTGATTTCCCAGCCGTGTCAGCAATGGAGGAGCTCAGCTTTTGCTTGCCTTACCCCGAGGCCGCTTGATGGTCGGGTCCATCGAAGGAGACACCAGCAAAGCAATGGCCAAGAGAGGCCGAGGCTTTCCTATGCGGAGCTTGGTCCGGAAAGGAAACTGCCCCCCGCTCATGCTGCAACTCCCATGCCAATCTGCCAATCAGGACAGCCTCTCACCAAGCCACCACCCACCACCCTCTGGAATTGGAGAGACTGCATGCTAAAACCGTATCATGTACTGAGCTTTTCGCTTCTAGGCACAGTTCTTCAATAAGTGAGATGCGATGCACGTTGCAGTGAGAGCCGTGGTTCAAACGGCAGTGTATGTCTAGCCAGTTGCAGCTCTCTTTCTGTAGAGTTGGATGTTTCAAGAGCTCAAGCGACATGTCATGTACGCACCTGCGGCAGACAGCGTCGCCAGTGCACTGACCTTTAGAATTGCGTTCGATTCAATGGCAACTGCAAGTGGTAAGCTCCCGAAGGCCGGGGCACCTGCCTCAGAGTCGCAACAAGCCAGTGAAAACCCTGGCAGCGGAGGCGTCATGCTGCATTCGCAGAATCGAAGGCCCGAACTTTTGCCTCTGGGAGTAGGACAGCAGTAGAGAAGGTCAGCATCGTGGAAGTGGGCCCTGGGTCGATGTCTGCGGTCTTTCGACGGCACCGTGGCTTGCAGGGCTTACTTTCTGAATTGGGACGACAGGAGGTAGCAGATAGTGTTGACCTAGCAGGCCATTCACAGTATACCTATGAACCTGATGCCACCGGCCACAACCCATCTTACAATAGCAGCGCGGCTCCACAACCCTCGCAGCTTCACAGCTTCAGCCCAGCCTGCAGCTGTGCTCGCTGCAGCGCGAAGCTCCATACAGAAGAGGCGCTCGCGCCGACTGCTCCGTGCATGAAGTCCCATTTACGTCCTCGCAACTAAAACTGCGAGTCACACTAGATCCCTAGATGCTACAGTTGAAGCCAATCCTGCATCAAAGGATACCCGCACGCGCTGCAACTGCCACCAGTCCCAGCCGTGCCAACTGGGCAGCTCCTTGGAATTGAGACGATTCAAGGCATCAGGGCCTCCAGCTGAAATACATCAACACCATCAACACCTCATACCCTGATAAAATCTCACGAAAGCTAGGTTCTCACATGCGGTACGCTCGGGATTCTGCTGCGTACCATCCGGGCACTGCATGCAGACTCCGAGTGTTCCAGCCGTAGTTGGTGGGCACGGACCGCAAGAAGTGTTCTGTCCAAGTACTGGCTGCGTTCCGTTGGGACAGAGAGTGCAAGAGCCGCCCAGACCAAAGTAGCCTTCTGCACAATCTTCGCAGAAGGATCGGTCTACACTTGCGCCGGTCCCCTGCGACAGAAACACAGAGCGATCATATCTTGGGGAACGCAGGCATTCGGTTGGGGAGAGTGTCATGCTTCCGTTTTGTTGGAAAGTCGCAGATGTGCTTTAGGCATTGGGGGCTTAAGCATTCTCTTCTACGGATTTCTAAGGTGGAATCTCTAGGCTTCGAGTCTGCATGCTGCCATTGCAGGCGAGAGCAGATGCAACATTCTTACGATTGTTCAACATGCTATGTTGGTTTTGGGGTCATTCGTGCAGTCAGCTCTTGCCCAACTCCTGCAGATTGAAATCCTGTTGCACACGGAAAGCCCAACTTAGCTACAAGCACAAGTCGAAGCCTCTGGGCAGAGATCGCACAAACCACCAGTCCCTGCATAGCCATCCGGACAATCCAGGCACGCGGACCGGTTCTCTGCCACAAGGCTACCATCTGGACACACTTGGCAGACACCGTTCACGGCTGCTTGTCCATCGGAACAAAATTCGCAGACGGAACGATTCACGCTTGCTACCATGCCGAGAGGACAATTGGCACAGCTGCCATTTGACCCGGCCCTTCCTGTCGAACAAGCTATGCAAATCGCGGCGGCAGCATCTGGCTCTTCCCCGGGAGGGCAACGGTTGCAGACGCCAGCAGTTCCAGCAAATCCACCGGAACATGGAACGCAAGCCGATCTTGTTGAGTCTGGTTGGGCACCATCAGGGCATGGTGAGCAGAAGCCATTGGTGCCAAACATGCCTGTTGGACATGGAGCACATAAGGTGAAGTCCGGTGAATTTTGCTCCCCATCCTGGCACTGATTGCATACACCATTCTGACCAGCTGTGCCTTGCGAGCAGGTCAAGCAGTCCGAATGGTCTGTACTGGGCTCGGTTCCATCCGGGCACTCTTGGCACAACTCGGAGCCCACAGATGGAGCTGCTGAGTTATCCTCGCAGGCGATGCAGTTCGTCTGCCCGCTGTTTGGCTGGGCGGAGCCTCGAGGGCACTGCTTGCAATTCACTTGCCCAGGCTGGTCCTGCAAACAGCGATGAGCTCAGTCGGTTTCACTAAGCAAAAAAGAAAGGCCACGGTACAGCCTAGGTGCTTCTGAAAGGCCTAGGTGCAGGTCCTGAAACTCGCCTAACGGACAATCGGTGCAGCTCTGTCCATCTCCTGCTTGGCCGGCACCGCAAAGTTCACATGTCGTTCCAGTGCTCTGGCTACCACTTCCACAGACCTGATTGCAGAAACCATCAGTACCAGCGCGACCAGCTGGACAGGGATCGCATTGACTTGTCGAACTTGGGAATGAGCCATCCGGACAACGTGTTAGTTGTGGCCAAACCTCAATCTCTGTGCCACGGCTTGACAGCACAAGGCCCCAGGTGTCCATGCTTAGCGAAAGTGCCGGAGAAGTTGTTGATCGGCTGATGACAGTCAGCAATTGCCCGGTGGAGGCGTCGAAGAATGCCAGTTGGTGCAAGGTGGCTGCAACAAGCGCATCGAGTGTGTTCGAATATGCTATAGAATTGATGCCATGATTCAGCGCTGACTGGCCAGACCCAGACCCAAAGTCGCGCACCTTCAAGCCCGTGTCCGGGCTCCATGCATGGATAGCCCCGTCATCTCCGGCACTTGCCACTAAACCTCCCTGGTCGGGAAGCGATTCAATTGCACGAATGGCGCCATCATGGGCCTTGAACAAATGCTTCAGAGGCAGCTCAAACCGGTACATCGTGTACGGTGCCACAAGAAGCGTGTCGCATGCACCCACGTTTTGCAAAAGTTGGCATTCATTGGCAGATGTGCCTCCAACTTGCCCATACACGAAAAAGTCTCCTCCTTTCGGGGAAGCTTGTTGCAATGCCGCCGAAATGCAATCTTCCAACAGGTACGAAGTCGGCAACGGCACGAAAGTACTTCCTGAACATATCCTGCCGTCTGCTTGCAGTCTCGCCAGGGGCAGTGACCAAAGCCCCAAGAAACCATCAATCGACCCACTGCTCAGCATTTGCAGGCCATCCAGCGGCTTGAGAGCCAACACCACGTTGCTGTGGCCCAATAGCTCCCGTGTGACCGCTTTTGCACTCATGCTCCACAAGCGGATGTTAGAATTGAAATAGCTACAGCTTGCAACTTCATTGTAGCTCGAAACATCATCTGAATAGGCCACAAATGCCACAGAGTTGACTTGGCTTCCGCCCGGATTTTCGTCGACATTAGCTACGGACTGTAATGTTGAAACCTGCATGAAGACCACTCGCCCATTTAGCCCACCAGCCACGACCTCTCCGTTGGCGTGATCGTACGTCACTGATGTAACACGGCTACCGACGTTACCACCCAGAGCGATGGCCAAGTCTGAACCTCGGAAGGCCTGCAACGTGCCGATGTCACCGCCCACGAATAGCAGGTCCTGCACTGGGCAAAGTTGTGAAAAAGCTGTTGTGCCGTTCTAGAGGTTCAACGCTCCCTGGAATTTTTCGCTTGCATTACTCTAGCAGGCAAGGCAACGCGGCTCGAGTGTCCCACTGGCTGGAGTAGCTCATTGCAGTCACAGCCCCAGCAGCTGAATCCAGAAGGTCGCTTCTTGCACCACCCACAATGTGCCCAGCAGGGATTGCTGCGAGTTGTCGCGCACTGCAACAACTCGAGTTGAAGTGCCATTGCTCGGAAGCTGCCTTAGCAATCCAAATAGTCGAAACTAGCATGCCATGCAGCGGTGTGAAGCTGGCAGCCTGTCCTGGAGGCACCAGAGAGGAAGCTGCGCAAGAAGGCATTTGCGCCACATAGACGTCTACATTGTAAGAGGCCAGGCCCAGCCACTCGGGTAGCGCACCCGCGGAGCCCAGGCCGCGAAGCCCATGCTTGCACTGCATTGAACCGCAAGCTGCACACGGCAACAGTGGCAACAAAATGAGACAGGCCGAGTGGGATTATGTTGCAAAACCGTTACAGGTGAAACCAGCTCCGCCGGCACTTGTTTTACAACTCGCAACTCGCGGTGGGTACCGTACATTCTCAACTTCACGTCAGCTTTTTCTCGTACTTGACCAGCTCCTCAGCTGTGGGCCAGAAGTTTAAAGTCTGCACGGTGCCTAAACTCTTGCATGCAAGGCTCCTGCTGGATTTCTGGCTTCCAGCTCATTAACTGCTCAAAGTCGCGCTTGGTCAAGGTCATGAACTTTTGCCCGGTGGAGTCTGTTATTGTCAACTTTGGGACCCGCGTTCTTCCATCTTTGCTTCTCAAATTCGACACATACACTTTCCGGCCTGAACAGCCAAGGAGACAAGCTCGAAATTGTTTCTCGGCAAATGGGGTACGAAGGCACCAGATGGGATGCAGGGTACTCTGGACAACAGGAACAGCACTGGGGATAGATGAAAGCTTCAGCAGTGAGAATGCCAGGACGCGCCTAGTGGAGGTCCCAGCGACATTTCCTTCTCCCTGGCCCGCTCATAGGAAGCTCGACCGGAGGCCATCGCTGCGTCCCTGGCCGCCAATTCCTCCTCGGAGCATCCGAAGAAATGCCTCCGATAGGCTCCACGCTCGCATCAACAAGATGACCCCAGTGACCTAGGCCCTAGGCTACACCGCTGCACCTTCGGCTTGCGCATGGCCTCGAGTCCCAAGAGAATTACTGAGCTTCAACCTGCCTCGGATTGACGGATGCGAAATGCCGGCGCAGCAAAGCGCATCCGGCAGAAGCCTGAGCCGTGACTGTGAGAGCACGCCAAACTGCTAGATCCTCTCGGCTCCTCTCTGCCTGGTGTTGCTGCACACGGCTCAGAAGCCTTTTCGCCATGATGGCGCAGAAGATACTGGAGCACTAGATGTTCATGACGAAAGCACGGCAAACTGTTCAATTAAGCAAGCTGCAGCATGGAGAGTCTGAGGCGTGTCGAGCACATGTGTTGCGTCAGCTTTGCCCGACTTAACTGCGAAGGTACAGAAAAAAAACTGTTGTGGTCAGAATGAAAGTGTGCAGGTGCGCGCAAACAGCTGCACGCAGGCTTGCGATGCTTTTTTGGCATGCTGACTCTGGTCAGACGACGCAGACCTGCCAGAGCAACCAAGTGCAAAACCAGGATTTACTGTATTGAGCTGTGACAGATTTCCATGCAACAGAAACAAGTCTAGCAAGTTGGCACATTCAAGGTGTTTTTCATGTCGCTGCCACTTCCGACATGCAGTTGCCTGGCACCGAGTAGGCCAGGCTTCTAAGAAGCTTTGTCTCCACAACCTGCGCAGCCGATGCTGAGGTCTGGACATGCGCAAGCGAAGCAAAAGATCGCCTGCAAGCTACGCTGCTCGGCTTCCTCGAGACCCATTGAGAGAGAAGGGACGTCGGCAGTCATCCGTTGTTGCGACATAACCTGCCGTGGAAAGACTGATGTCACGTCGATGTCGCAATATTGCAGCCAGAGTGTTTCTCATGACTTATTTGCGAGCTTGCGTTCGTCGGCGCATGCTGTTTACAGACATGTCCATGCTTCTGCAAGAAGCTCAAGCCTGCTCGCATCTGCCAGGGCTATCAAGCTCGCGCTGACGAAAACTCGACACACTGAACAACGAACCAGCGAGTAATTACAAGTTTCAGCAGGCCTCGAGCATGTCCAGCATTTTTATCCATTGCCGCCCACAGCCCAGAGCCAGAGACACTGCACTAAAGCCTGCAGACTCGGGACATCTCGAAGCGTGGTGTAAGCTTGGAAAAGAACACTCATTGTACACCAATGTCCAAGGCCTGTGGCACCGGGACAAAGGAATTGGCTGGGCATGCTGGCAAAAAGACCTTGGATCCAGAACCGAGATTTGATGATTTCAACATACTGCACTCAAGCAACATTCCGTGAGAAAGAAGATTCCCAAAGGATCAGGCTCAGCACTGCTTCCCAAGCGAGACCTGCGACGAGGAAGAGGAGAAAAGGAGCTGACTCACAGGCTGCACGCAGGACTCTCACTGGGCCTCGGCCACAAGCACGCAGCACGGAGTCCAACACGACAGTGTCCGGCCAAGGCCCCTGCAAAATCGGCCCGTTGTGAGCACATAGTGAAGCAAAACAGCATGAACCCTGCAAGTTGGCAGCTATGAGCACGGTCCTGAGCTTGGGAAGTCTCGAATCCCAGATGTAAGCTTGGGTCCGTGGATCCGTGTTTGGAGATTGCATTGAAGGTGTTGAGGACATATTGGGAGCCACGGGACTCTGCGGATGATTCGCGCAGGATCTGCCCGTGACTGTGAGAAGTCACTCGCAAGCTCGTTCAAACACGCCTCAGCCTGTTCCGGCTTTCCTGCCCACAACTTCGAGAGACAACCATCCTGGGAAACTCGCACAAAAAAAAATCAAACTCGTTCGAGTGATGCTCTGTCCGCAGCTCGGCTAGAATGCCTGCCTGTTTCCACTGTGTGTCTGGAGATTTGCTCAATTGAGGCCTACTGTCCTGACCGCAGTTGTGGAGGGTGCAAGTAATCCCTCAATGGCTGAACATGCCGCGACAGTTCATCAAGCTTGTTTTTAAAAGAGAGTGAGATGCCCACCTGCTGAAACATCCGCTCCATGAGCTCCTTGACACAAGCTTGCGATTCAAAAGATCTGTTGTGAGATCTCTGGCGTCTCCAGGGCAGCCGTCCAACGATGAGCTCGCTCGCAAGCACTGACTACCTCGACGTGCGGACAGACCGATCCGTCTGGCGGTCACGTCTACGACAGTCTACGAGATGCTACGCAGAAACTGCCCCGGGCGCATGGCTGCCCCCATCACCAATACATTCGCGTTGGTCGCATCCACTAGCACAAGCGCCTGCGACCAGGCAGCGCCTCAAAAAAGCGCAGAACCAGAGCGAGAGCAAAAAAGGCACCGCACCCAAGCTGCAAGACCAGAATGTGGCATCCAACTGCTTCAACTGATGACAGCATGGTGCTACACGACATGACCGCGATCCTAAGTCTGTTAGTCAAAGATTCCCTTTTATATTCAGTTCTGGCATATGAAAGCCTGAAGCCACACCAGGCCTTTTGCAAGCGCACTGGCAAGTGTTCCTGCTGCCACGGTGTCCAGATCTCTGAGCTCAATGGAAGTGAGGAGATCCAAGGCGGCCTCGCCCAAAAGCCACCCTAAAGCCCTAAATCCGCTCTGAAGACCTTCGATGAAAGGCGCCTCCCAAGATGAAGCCCGCTCCCAGGATGTTGCTACCGTGCTGCAGACCGTCATGTCGGGAGAAATGCGCTCCTGCCAGCACAAGCTGCGAAGCACCACCACAGTAGCACTGCAAGCCCTAACAACCTCGGCCATGAGCTGCAAAAGCTGGGCTTGAAGACCAGGCTGCCTCTGCAAGGCTAGTGCTGCTGCACCAAAGCCTCGGTCCGAGGGCAACATCGCGGATAGCTCCAGCAAGGTCTGCCCTGCTGGCACGAGGCTGCCTGCCGTATCCTGTATCCTGCCGTTCAAGCCTTCGCGGGTTCTTTCACTTCTTGCGATGGACTGCCAGACTGTTTCAAGCTGGGCTTTGGCACGGGAGAAGGCATTTTTCCTGAAGGTCTTGCGCTGTCGATTGAGCTGCTTGCGCTTCTTCGGGGGACGGCAGAAGCTCATGCGCTGGAAGTTTCTATCGAGAAGTCGCTGACAGTACCCAGCCGAGGAAGAGAGACTGGAGCCAAAGTGGATTCCAGACTCGCTCTTACTCTTTTGCCGAATTGCAGCTCTTCGCACCTCCGAGAAAACTACGACGTCGCCAAAGCTGTCGCGACCCTAGATCCTTCCAAGTTGTCGGGTCGTGGGCGGTACTATCCATAGTCGAATGCTGGAGCACGTCTAAGCACTGTTGACCACCCGACTTGTGTGCCCTTGTAGTTGCAAATGGCATGTAAACAGCATCAAGAGAAGTGCAGAATTGCATCTGCAGGGTAGTCCAATGACCTTTTGCTCTCAAGAGGACTGCTGCCGGACAGCTCTTCACGTCCGGCTGCTGCAGCTGCCTGGCACAAAAAACAATGTCCAATTTAAACGACAGGCCGACGACAGGCCGACGATAGGCCGAGTCCAGGTGGTTCTCTGTTTGGGCCTCAACTCGGAGAGAAGTGCCAAGGACGCGGGCCAAGCAAAGGAGCGGCCGCAGGCTGCAATCGCTGCATTGTAGAGAATCCTGTTTGGCCTCACAGAACTCACCCGCACCGGATCGCATGTTGGGCGACTGAGGCTGTGACTCGCGGATCCGTGCAATGATGGCGACAGCATCCTGCCGAAGTGCAGAGCAACCTGCCTGCACTGCCTGCCAGCGATACAGCACAGGTCCTGCCAGCGCAGTTGCCGTCCAGCTGCCGTGATGGCACTGGTGAGCGCAGGCCACCGTTGCATGCAGAGGCTGCAACATCGAATTGCAAGGAAACTGTCCTCCGAAGCTTTGAGCTAAGATGGGCCAAGAGCTGACAGGATCAGGATGAATGCCCTGGATGCTTACGGCAGGCACGACCCCGAGCAGACGTGTGATGACAAGAGGAGCCTGGCAGTTGCCGACATGCACGAAGTGCACTGACCCAGACAGCCCTGGGTCACGAAGACGAGTTGGACCAGCGATACGACCCATCCCCAGTGAAAAGGAGCGCAAACACCGAATCTAGGAACCCTTGCTGCAGCAGGTAAGAGATTGCAGGCAGGCAAACACATGAGCAGCATGTCACTGCTTCGTCACACTCCATGTGCCAGTCCTGCGGGTTCCGGCACATTCGCAGTCACTCCAGGTGAGTTTCGAAGTATATGCACATGTAATGTAACATGACACTTAGGGTAGCCTTTAAATGCATCTTGACAGGCTCTAGCTTTCGCCGGATTCGCGTCCGATACTCCCCAGTTCCCGGCGTCAGCTTGAGTCAGAGGCACTCTGGACCTTGAAACAGTCATTCCGCTGTGTTGAAGTGTCGTGTAGTTCCGCTCAGTGCCAATTCAATGCCTCCAGATTATCTTCGGCGGGACCCACTCGTTGTCGCGATGGTCCTGCTGGCTTAAATCGTCTCAGTTGCAACACTCGCAGGAGCAAAGTCATTGCTCAGAATTTTTTATAACAACTCCTGCGAATTTGGCTCCCACATACTCCGGCCCGGAAATGCCTCGCACAGCATGCCCGCCGCCGAATGGAAACGTGTGCAGAGGTATTGTGAGCGCCTCTGGCAGTTGCCAAAGCCGGTAGGCAGTACAGAACGGCACCCATCGCGACGCCCATGCCGGGCAGAGCCAGGCCTAGAATTTCGATTTGTCCCTGAGTACGCCCTCAGAACTTCGCATGCTAGCTCTACCCGTCAATGTAAGTCCCCGGGCTCATCATGGGAGCCGTTGAGAAAAGCCAGGGCTTGGTGGTGCACATGATTAAATCAAGTTGCCGATACTTGCCCACCAGAAAGATGAGACATGAGGAAAGAAGTCTCTGAGCGTGCCACAGCCAGCCAGACCATGAGCAACACAAAGGGGCATGTTGCCAAGCAAACGAAACTTTCCACATATCTTGTATCCTGAACCGGTCGCAAGTGTTCATTTCCACTACAACAGCTCACGAGCTCGAACTTTTCGACTCAACAGGGTCTCAGCATGGGGCTGCCGCCATCCTCCAGCATCTTAGCCAACCATGGCACAATGCAGCAAACCCTCGCAGTTTCTCCTCATGCTATACCAGCAACGAGTGTGGACGATTTGTTGCTTTACTGCAAAGTCCGTCCCCAAATACAATTGCACACGGAGGTGCTGCAAAGGTGTCTCGCATTTCTTTCACACTGCTTGTGGGACCTGCTGCACGCAATTGACATTCAGGTCTGCACAAAGAAGCCGGGTCATGCATATGTTCAGTGTCTGTCTGGTGCACCTGCGACTTGAGACCTGCAGACAGTCTCGGAGTTTGGCGTGCACAATGGGCCCTATCGTCAAAATGATGTTCCACTGATACTACACCGAGAGAACACGAAGTTCTCGAGGTGGTCATGCATGAAACCTACAATTTTCACATGCACGCACACGTCAACGAAAGGGTCTTCGCCCTCTGCATGCTACTTCGTGCAGCATTCAGTGCAGCAGCGAATGTCGTGGATCTCTTTGCGCGAATGCTCGTCTGGCCAGGAGCACTCTCCTTGGAAAGATGCGCTGGAAACGTAAATTCCTGGATCACCTGGAAGTGTGTCTGCAAGGAAGCTTCGCGATCGAAACAGCACAGCTCAACTTGAAAGGGAATGCATTCCTGCAACATTACCGATTGTAGGCGGTCCAACCCGAGTTCCAGCGAAGTTGCTGGTATCTCTTCGTCATCATACTCATACATGTAATCCTCCGAGTACAGCTGAAACGGAGAAAACACTACACGCAGTTGTGTTGGCGGTTGTGTCAGCCGCAACTTTCCTGCTGCCAGACGCATGACGTTCTCGTCGGAGATAAAGACACAGCATCCGTCATTAACCCCGGAATCCAGCCAAACAAGTGCTCGGAGCGCTGAGACGAGAAAGGACACGGAAGTCGTCGCGGTCTGCTCCTCGTCCTCCTCTTCGACTGTACTACCAATCTCCGTCAAAAGCTGATTGAGCACCGTGCCACCTTTGCTGAATCCTAATACATGCAACGATTGACAAAGACTGAAGCGGTCGTGACCAAAAGTTGCTGAGATGTCTTGCAGCAGGAGCAGAAGATGCTCGGCTGCCGTGCATGAGGAAGCTTTGTAGTTTCCGTTGAATGGATCCCCAGTGGCGTTGGTTTCCAGAAAATGGTCAAAGCAACTGTAACCATCGTGCTGCCGCGAAGGCCGAATCAAAATTATATGAAGCTCGGGGAAACGAGCGGCCAGCATCGTTGCAATCGACTCCGTGCTCCAGTCTTGCCACAGACTCAGGTCAGAATCTGACATCATCTCTTCCTGACTGGCAGATATGTCGCCAGGGAAAAACACCAGCACCTCTGCTCGATAGCTTCTCAGAACCACATCTACAGTATCAACCTGATCGCGTGCTCCCTTGGCACACACGGTGTGTACCGAAACCATGCTCGACAGGCTTTCACGAGCATTCACCAGTTGTGCTTACACTTCTACATCCGGGCGCTTATCCATGGAAACCCTGTGCTGGCCACAATTCAACTCATGGGAAATAGCCCCATGTAACTAGATGATGCCGTCTTGGGTTGTGGCTCAGCCAATACTAAAGTCAGCTCCGACCCATATACAAGAGACTCCCCATGCGCCCCCTCAGGTTGATCATCGTGTTGTCAAACAGCTCGCAGCGCAAAGCACTTGACTTACCGGAGACAGGGCAACGCCTATAAACCCCGCAGAACACGCAAACCTCGCAAGCCCTAGAGAACCTGCAAGCCCCCTGCCGACGCAGACCCTGTGACTAAACCGACAGGCGGCCAAAGCCCTTGCATCCTTTAAGCTGGAAGAGTCCACCCCCCGCCCCCGGCACTCAACTTTTCGATTCTGTTCGTGAAGATATCTTAGATAACTGAGCTGGTCTTCCGGCCTCGCATTGCTCAGCAAGTCTTCAGACCGGAACAAAAGCAATGGCCCCTTTAGAGGATGTTCACGCCCGGAGACTTCAAGGCCGACGATAGCGAATTGATCGAATTGTGGCTGGCTTTCACTAGCGGCCCATACCGCCCATCCTTATTAGCACCGGCAAGGCAGGGCGGCAGGGCTCGGCAGGGCTCTGAGCCATCCGTTTCCAGTCCGAGGCTCATCTGCTGCAATTGGGCCATGGCCTGTGGATTTTGCATCATCTGTTGCACCTCTCCAAGGCACCCAGCAAAAGGAGCCACGGAGTGCAACAAAGACATCTTACCACCCAGAATCGTCAACGAACACACGTAATACACCCGCTTCGAACTACAGGACAGTTGCAGACGCACCCAAAATGGCGTAATTACTCGTGAAGGGACAGCGCCTGCGCCATCATGTTGGGATCTTGCATCATCTGCTGCGCCTTGACATCCAATGCACGCAAACATGCTGCACAAACTTCATGGCTCACGTCAAGCAGTGCTTCAGCTTGACACCCGACCTGATACATGCAACTACATATGGCATCAGCCGTTGTAACCTTTGTCTTCAATATTGTTTGATGACACGATCATGTTCTTTGAGCCGCAAAAGAATCCGACATCGACTCACGTTTTGGACGGGAGGCTCCGGGAGCCGGCAGGAAGGGTCTCTGTAAAGGGTGACGCTATGGACACCATCTACAGCAACGTCGACCTCTGTGTAGCATCGGGAATGCAAGCACTTTTTGTGCCATTCCTATTCAGGGGGTGGGCTCATGGATATCGAAACGGAGCCTGCCGCATCATGCCAGGATTGTTCATCATCATCTGCTGAGCCTCTAGCCCGAATGGAAAAAGCAACACGACACTCGATTGACCTCTGCATGCCGGTGACAGTTCTGCCTGCTGCATCATTGCGTTGCCGCCAGGCCCGCCAAGGCCACCAGGCAAACCGAGCAAGCCGGCGGGCAATCCACCTCGCAACAGCTCGGTGTGGGCTTCGATGCCATGTCGACGCATAAACGGCCCTGTGCCTCCATAACCCGCTGGTTGCGCCGCAGGCCTTTGATGAAAGACATCACGACAAACCTCTGTCTGTGCGACTGTGTCTTGGATGTCTTGGGGCCTTGGGGACAAAACCTGGTGCTAAGGAAGCTTTTCGCCAGTTCCGATGGCCAATCTCTTATCACATTTTCGTGGGCAGCAAAGAAAGCCTTGGTTCTGCTGCCAACGAAGACTGCGGAAGCGTGCTCTCTCTGCTTTGCCAACAGGTCTCTTTCAGTACATACTTGCATTTGATATGGCAAGGGGCCAAGCAATAAACCGCAAACGGGACTTGTCTGTGACATCGTCCATCCATCACTGTGTGTTTAAGGATTCTTTTCGAGTTAAGAAAATGAGTGTGCTGACGAACGTAGTGCATCAACACCAACAGGCTCAAGAACCTTGTGTCCAGCTGTTCAGGGCTTGAAAATGATCGCTGTGATGGCTGTACCCTTACAAGTGCTGTTGTTGATACTTCACTTCAGCCGTGGACGAACGCTGAAATCGGCGTCAAGGATGAGTAGCAAGCAGCGTTGCACCACCGCTATCTTTCTCAATCATTTCCATCGTGCTTTAGTACACCTGTGAGTTGTCGCGAAGACATGCTGCTCATATGGTCGTTCTACCACGGTGTTCACTAGCTCAACAACTATCCCGGACATGCAGAATCAATCAGGGCTCGCTTCTTGATCGCACCACATTGAAAAACTTGCAGCTGCATCTCTTCGACCACGAGTCCAAGCACATCAGCAAGAAGTCGCTGCAACTTTCGGAGGACAGCTTCAAACTCCTGGGCAATAGGAGACCTA